CTGCTGCTGTGTTCGCGCGTGTGCTGATGAGACGCGTCTCTTGCGAGAAATATTGTCGTGTTCACGCGAACGCACGCTACGTTCGCCTGCAGTCTGCTGCCGAGAATTATCTTGCTGTTGTTGTTGTCAACCCGCACGCACCTCCGATTAGCAGGTTGGCTACGTACGGCGTGAAAGAAGTTCAACACACACAGCGTGCTGCAGTTCACACGCGTTGTACACGAATGCTAGTGCCGTAGGCGAGTGGCGATCGTCCTCTCTGTGCTGTGGAACCACCAGCCGCTTGGCAGGCTCTCTCTCTGTCTGTCTCGCTTGTTCAAAGTCAGTGTCATGTGTGGGTGGGAGTGTTTGTGCGTGGGTGAGTGGTATGTGTATGAATGTGTGTGATGTGTGTAGTAGTTAGCGATGTAGTGTAGTAGTTAGCGCTACGAACCCGGCGACCCGAGTTCGATTCGCGCTCACGGCCAACACCGGTGACGATTATCTGAACCTGTACTGGGCCTCCCCTAGATCGACTCAGCCTCAAATGAGTACCTGGTGCTGTGCGTAAAAACATTGCCACGAGGGAGACAAAGGCGGCGCGGCGTGGTGCTGGCCACCCACCCCCTCGTGTGCCTTCATACGTGCTACTCGCTGACAGCACTTGCCACAACAGTCTGCACAGGCTACACGGGTGGTCTTTGCCTCTGTCTGTGTTGGGGGAGTGACGTCACCTCCTGAACAATGGGGAGCAGAATGGTCGTTCTCAAGTGCGAAAGTGTTCACGTTTTAGCGGACCCCACGTGAGTGGGATAAATGCGTGGAAGAGGAAGAAGATGAATATGTTTAATCCTTCCTGGGAATGAAACAGGCGTCAAGATTTTAAAACACCAAACCGAAACCATTTGCAGGGAATCATGTCTGCAGTTAAGCACATGTGGTACTGGTAGGAACCTCCTGGTTACACCAGCCCACAGGGATTATTGTGTCCGTCGTGCAGGGAGGGGCTGGGGGGGGAGAGGGCTGGGGGGGGGTGGGGCTGGGTGGGGAGGGGCTGGTCACCCCGTGGTGCCCTTATAAAACTCAACGTTTAACCTACTCACGCCGGCTTGTGCCCGCCCTCACAGTCGGGCATATTTGCGGAATACACCACGCCGCCGTTGACCCTGGCCATTGACCGAGCAACCCAACGTTCCTACCAGCTCCCTCCGCAGGAGGAATGTGTTTAAAGTAAAAATTGGTGAAGATTTCGCTTTCAGTGGCGCCCTCTCGTGTGGCTGGATGCCTTGAGAAACAATCCAGCATTTTCAATCTGTACCTGGGCCTCGTTTAGGTGGACTCGGCCTTAAACACGTTGCGATTCCTCCACTCATGTTGATGACTGGCTATACCAGACGGAATGTTTCATCTCATGTATTCCGGGAGAATGTCAGTTCTGGGTCACAATGTCATTTTTGGGGGGATTAACGGTAATGAAATGAAAACTACCGGGAAACCAAAAAGACGACCGGTTTGCCGATAAGTGGTGAACCAATTATTTGGTGATACTGCATGATTTGGTAGTGGTGCCAAAAGCAGAAATAACAACAAAACCTCATCACATTAATAGGGGTTTCCCCTTCTTCTCTGGCAACAAAACTTAAACCTTTTTACAAGGATTCATGTCTGCATTAACCACAATACTTGCAGTCAAAATGCAAACAAATCACACTATGATAATAATATGCATTGTCCTTGAAATTGATTGGTCCACACAAAGGGACGGCTTTCTTTTGAGCCTCGACCAAATTGGTGCTCGACCAGAGGACGCCAAAAGGCGTCCACAGCTCAAAGACAACGCTGCACCATCACAGTAATGGGGGCTCGGGGTGAGCATCTACATCATTAGACCTGCTTGCCAAAGAGGTCGGTGGTTTTGCTTGAATCGACCCACGTGCCCTGCCAGTGTTTATTAGCGAGGCCCTCTCTGTATGACATGGGGGATGGTGGGGGGGGGGATAGTGGTGGGGGATAGTGGTGGGGGGGGGATAGTGGTGGGGGGGGGATAGTGGTGGGGGGGGGTAGTGGTGGGGGGGGATAGTGGTGGGGGGGATAGTGGTGGGGGGGGATAGTGGTGGGGGGGGGGATAGTGGTGGGGGGGGGGGTGGGGGGGATAGTGGTGGGGGGGGGGATAGTGGTGGGGGGGGGGATAGTGGTGGGGGGGGGATAGTGGTGGGGGGGGATAGTGGTGGGGGGGGGGGATAGTGGTGGGGGGGGGGGGATAGTGGTGGGGGGGGGGATAGTGGTGGGGGGGGGTCAATTAACTTCCGCTTCCGGTCCACATCTGACCCCGCCCCCTTCTAAGTCGCAGCTTCCGGTTCCGTTTCCCGCCTCCAGCTCCTCCACGAGGCCGCCATTGTACAAGCAGCAGCAGCAGCAGCCAGCGGCCCGCTACAGACAGCGTGAAGCAGCAGCAACAGCAGCAAACAACAGCAGCAAACACCATGGCGTCGTACGTGCGCGTTGCGGAGGACGAGGGCGAGGAGCCGATCGAGATCCCCGCCGAGGAGGACGGCACCGTGCTGCTGTCGAGCGTCGCCGCGCAGTTCCCGGGCGCTTGCGGCCTTCGCTACCGCGCGGGAGAGGGTCGCGCCCTGCGCGGCCTGCGGCTCGCAGAGGGTGCGCTCCACCCGCCAGAGCCCGCGACCTGGGGCATCCACGTGTACCTCGTCACCTTCCCCAAGGGTGAGAGAGCGAGAGAGAGATGGAGCGAGGTAGATGAGAGAGGAGCGGTTTTTTTACGTTTCGGTGATGCGCGGTTTGTTGTTAATGTCGGCCATGTGGATTGCCTCGTTACATCCTCCCGCCATGGCGTAGAGGGTTTAAACAATAAATATCTCCCTTGTAGCCTTCATAGACTTGGGGTAAGTGCTGTTAGCGAGCACCTATGTAGCACGGCACACGAGGGGGGAGGCGGCAGCACCACGCCCGGCCGCCTTTGTCTCCCTCGTGGCGATGTTTGCACAGCGCACGCCACTTACTCGTTTGAGTCGAGTTAAACGGATGCGGAGTGATACCTAAGAGTACGATATGCATTTGTATTGCTATTCGCAGCAAGCAACTTGGGTTTGCTCGGAATATTTTTTTTAATTTGCGGGACCCAGGTTACGCTCATCTTGGTCTCTTGCAAATTTTGTCATCGAGCCCCATGGTGAATAATGTGCAGTCTCCACCTGTTGAATATTGCCCGAAACGCAGCCTATTTTTTCCCTTTTAAGGCCACAGCGATTTTGAAGATCGTGAGTTAGCTATTTGTGCTTTATGCATAATTTTCAACGCAACATCACGAGATGACTTGCCTCTTGAGTACTGGCGTGGTTTAACAAATTCACTTGACTTTAAATCGTCAACCTTCCCCAAGGGGGGGGGACCAGAGTTTCAAAACGTGTACAATTGTACACAAATTTGCAATGTGTACCGAGTATCGTACCCAAAATGTATATACAATTTGCCGAAAACGACTGCAATTATACATAACAATAGGTCGACAACTTGTACCTCGCCACTGTTCCCAAAGGATAGGAGATGTTATACGGGAGGGACTTGTGCACATTTAATAAATAAGCAACGTGTATCGTTTTTTGTTGTCATAGTTGTGAGAATTATAACAGCAGTGTCCTCGCATTTGCGCAGAATACAACTCACGAGGTAACTCCAGCACCTCGCGGTGTTTCTCGAACACGTGTTCCGGGGGGGCTATCAAAGACAATATGCCTCGTGTTGTCTTTACAGGCTGGGTTTAGTGACGTTAGCGAGCAGCTTTGAATGCCTGTAGGGGGTACACGAGGCAGGTACAATGCACAAGGTGGTGGAGTGTGGCCAGAATTACGCCCGGCCGCCTTTGTCTCCCCAGTAACGATTATAGCGCACATCGCACCAGGCTCTCGTTTGAGGATGAATAGACCTCCGGAGATGAGGGTTCCAGAATGTTCATAAATCGTTACTGATGTGGGCCCTCATCAGGGAAATCGAATTCGGTTGCGCCTGGTTCGAAGCGAACAACACGCGTGCAATATTACATTGCAAACGTCATAATATTAATAGAGTTTCCAAATTACATTTTATAATATTTATATTTAATCGGTAGTCTTTGTACGCGACGTCTTTGTGCGTGTGATAGGCCTCGTGTTTCCGCTCACGTTGTAGCGCGTGGCTCTGGATTTCCCCACGGCCTACGCCCCGAATCCACCGTGTGTGTGTACAAGTTGCCGAGCCACAGCCTTCAACGTGTAAACCCTCTCGCGGGGAATGCATCTGCAAGGGCGTTGAAGCGAGTATAGGCGGGGGCTACCTCGTATGTAATTGTTGCAAAGGCGATCTTGATTTAAAGCTTTCGTGACTGCAGGAATCCATACTCTTGGGTTATTTCGGTAAAGTCACGTAGGTAGAAAAAAGTTACCGAGTTTATTTAGGCATAAACATGCGACACACCATCGGTTAACGATGGATATGTTGACTATTTGCACTGCACCGTAGCTCAAGCAGTCGCTCATTTGGTTTTGTGTGTGCGTGCGTAGACAACAAACGCAAGATGGATGAGAGCGATGCGTGGAACGTGGCTAAGATCAAGCGCTCCGTGCAGAAGACGTCCGACCTCATCGTGCTGGGGCTGCCGTGGAAGTGCAATGAGCAGGACCTGAGGGATTACTTTACAGAGGTTGGGGACGTGCTCATGGTTCAGGTACGTTCCACTCGCGGGACAGAGAGATGGTTGAATTGGACATCCGGAAAATGTGTACAATTTGTGGTCCTGGTTTTTTTTACTTCCTCTATTCACCAAAATGTGTCCTAAAACCTAGGGAATGCATTTGCAAGTTGAAGGTATTGACTGCGAATTAAAGTGAGCTTGAGGACACGGGTCGCTAGCCTTTACACCGCCCGTGGTTTTGAACGATGGTCACCGAGAAAGGGAACATCGCGGAGATGAAGCGGTGAAATCCGCTCGTTGGTGTCGGCTGGATTGTCGCATCACTGGACCTAGCGGTGGATGAGTATCCTGAAAGGCAGAAAAAACCAAGAAGCATTTAACGGCTGTACTATACTGTCAAACTCAGTCAGACAAAAAAACTATTAATATGTTTTGGCAGGTTCTTCAGGCTGATCAAGTAGAATGTTACTTGAAAAAAATTCCATTGCAAATCAAACTTTTGTTTATGTTTTATCACCCAAAATCCAAAATTACAGCACGTAATATATGGAGGTTCCTTTTGCAAGGCACAGATCATGGAGCATTTACAGGTTTGGTTTTAGCGAAAATACGCAAGGCAAGAGTTCCCCCACGCTCATTTTAGTTTAACATCTAACGATTCCTCTCCTTTGCAGGTTAAACGTGATGCCAAGTCTGGAACTTCGAAGGGGTTTGGTTTTGTCCGCTTCAGTGAGTTCGAGAGTCAGTTGAAGGCCATCTCGCAGCGGCACTTGATTGGTGGCCGCTGGTGCGATGTCAAGCTGCCCAATACCAAGGTACGTGGGAGTGCGCGTGCTTATTTAGCAGAGCTAGGGGAAAGGTGTGTGGATTTGGTGTGAGAAATTGATTGTGGAACTGTATGGGTCGTTAGGCGATTGTGGATACTTGGGTTTGGCAATGAGTTGCGTAAGCGTGCGTTTGATTGAAAACATTTTTTTGGTACCGATGCAGTTTATGGAGTTAGGTGTATGACTATGAAGATGCAATTGCCTTCTGGTGATACATGCGTTGGCCTGAGTGGGTCTAATTTGGTGCGATTTGCGAATGTGGGTGTGGGTGGTGTTTTATTGTTACGATCCTGACGGTTGTGAATCCTGGTGCTGTGTAGGTGTGATAATTGTACAGATGATTGGTAGTGTTTGGAATGTGTCTTTTTGGTTTGTGTGGTGGTTGAGCTCCCTGATTTGGATGATGGCAGACTGCAGCCTTGCTGATGGCAGATTTACAACTTTGATTTGAAATGAGAAGTTGCAAACTGGTGTTCATTGCTTAAGTGACGCAACATTGGCTTCTGTTGCTCTGTTTGAGTTGACGGGGGCACATTTTTTGTCGTTTTGAAAGACAATTGAAGAACATTGGCTTATAGGAAGATGCAACCAGAAAACAATCACCTGTTAAAGACATGTACACCTCGGCCGTGTTCCCAAGCGTTGTTGGACACCAGTTTGAAGCTGTGACAAAAATACTTGGAAGATCGGGTCAAGCTTGTGTAATTGTGGCACTGCGGTGACATCACGTCCATGTGTTTTAACACAGTGCAGTGGTGTTTCCAAGAGTGCGTAATGACGAATTGCTTGACCTGTGTAACTTCAAAGTAATTTTCTCTACCACCAAACATTTTTCAAGCACTTTTTTCAACTTGGGGCACACCGAATTGAGTATGCATCTGCGTAATAAGACCCATTTTGCCATTTAGGGCTGTCTTCACCTTAAATTATTATACAATAGCCACCATTATGCAGCATCAATGGGGTCACAATGTTGTGGGCAAAGAGATGGGAGTCGCCTTCGTGGTGTTACGGTCAGCAGAAGCACTTCGTTATTAGTTGAAACACCATTGTGCGAGGCGACGGCAGGAATACATACCTGGGCCACATCAATCGTGTTAACTCGCTCACATATTCTCCGAGCAAGGAGTAGTGGCCGCGACTTTTCTGCATTTTTTCAATTGAGTGATATTTTACAATGCATTTTGGATTATAAAGTGTATCGGCAACTGCATTACAACATGCTCATTCATCAGTGTGGTGTGTATAGATAATTGTGTTGGCCTATAAAAGTACGTGTAATAGTATGTATATGTTATATATATTTAAAAATGTAAGTGATACTTGTCGAACTAAATATACATGCCGTATAACTATAAAGGGTTTCACAATATCCTATAACCTAACATTTTAAATATGTTTAGTCCTATGGTTGTGCATCTTCATTTTGTAGTAGTTTGTATGTGGCTGTCAGTGTGGTTGTATATGTGACTATTAGTGTGTAGGTGTGTGTATAAGTGTGCGAGTTTGTGTGTCTCTTTGTATGAGTGAGTGATAGTGTGGGTGTGATTACAAGTACAGTGTGCGAGTGCTTGAGTGTGGGCAAGTGTGTGAGTGGTGTGTACATGAGTGCGTGAGTGCAACTGTGTGAGTTTGTAAGTGTGGGTGTGTTAGTTTATACGAGTGTGTTGGTGAGTTTACAAGTGTGAGTGGCGTTGGTGTACGTGTGCATACAAGTGTGTATGCGTGTGTATGAGAGTGTGAATGTGAGCGTTTGTGCGTGTGTATAGATGTGATGTTTTGTGTTTATGTGAATGTATGTGTCGGCGTGAGTTTGTTCGTACCCATGTATGACATTTCATCCAAAGTATGAGGCTGCACAAGTTAATGTTTATAGGAAACTGGCTGACCCCATGGCAATTATGATATTGAGTGGTGTAATCTTTTATATTTGTTTCTTAACAGGGTTTGAAGAAGTTATTTGCATTCATTTGTGAAATAACGTGTATTTGGTTTTGCCTGTGTGTGTGTGCGTGTGTGGGTGTGTGCGTGCGTGTGTTCGTGGGTGTGTGTTCGTGGGTCTGAATGTGTGTGGTATGTCGTGTGGGGGGGTGTCTGATATGTGTGCGTGCGTGATGTGGGTTGCGTATATGAATGTGATTACAATGTTGTGAGTGGCGTGTGTGCCAATCTATGTATGCCTTCTTGTTGGTGGTGTTTTGTGTGTTGTGTGGCATGCTGTGACGATGTGTGTGTGGATCACTGGGTGTGGTGTGTGGTCGTGTGGGGTGTGGTATATTGTGTGAGTCCGTATTGTGGTGTGTTATTGTTGGCGTGTGGTGTGGGTGGTTCTTGTATTTCGTATGGAATGGGCTTTGGTGTTGTGCGCTGTATTGTGTGGAATTGTGTGTGGGGGTATGGTTTGCGATTTGGGGTGTGCATGCGTGTGCTTTCGAATTTTGTGTGGCGTGCTGTGTGTGTTTGGGTGTGGGTGTGTGGTGTGTGTTTGGGTGTGGGTGTGTGTGGTGTTTGGGTATGTGTCTGTGTGGTGTGGTGTTTGGGTGTGTGTGTGGTGTTTGGGTGTGTGTGGTGTGTGTGGTGTTTGGGGGTGTGTGGTGTTTGGGTGTGTGTGTGTGTGTGGTGTTTGGGTGTGTGTGTGTGGTGTGTGTGGTGTTTGGGTGTGTGTGGTGTTTTGGTGTGGGTGTGGTGTTTTGGTGTGGGTGTGGTGTTTTGGTGTGTGTCTGTGTGGTGTTTGGGTGTGCGTCTGTGTGGTGTTTGGGTGTGCGCGTGCTGTGTGTGCGTGTGTGTGCTGGCCGTTGCGACGTGGTCGCCACGGGTGTATGAAATGTACATATACAAGCAGCAGCAGTCGGAACGGGTTTCCACAGCAAAAAGATCTTTGTGGGCCGCTGCCCGCCTGACCTTACCACGGAGGACCTGCGGGCATACTTCAGCCAGTTTGGAGAAGTCACCGACGTCTTCATCCCCAAACCTTTCAGGGGATTTGCCTTCGTGACTTTCACAGATGAGCAGGTGGGTTGGAACTTCATACACTTCACCTACGATCAAGTCTCCCGGAATTGCACCCAAACTTGTCAGATCTCTGTAAGATTAGCATGTTCTAGCCTGGATAGTGCTTGGATGGGCAGCCGTCATGCATTAAACGGGCATGATAAGCTGCCCGGCTACATTGTGAGTAGGGTGGCAGTTGAGTAAGATTCGTTGTACAGTGGTACCCCCCCCCCCCCGGAGAATCGAACTTAATAAGTTCCAGAAGTTCTAGATTTGAAGCTTTCGTGACTGCAAGGATTCACAGTCTTAGGTTTTTCGGTAAAGTCACGTAGGTAAAAAATCTAAATCAATAAAAGTACATTTACTTGATACAGCTGTCGGGCTGTGGCGGTTCCACCTGAAGACGGAGGCTTGTGTTGCCTCCGAAACGTCGTGATTTTTGTTTTATTTTACTTTCATTGATTTTGATTTTTTACCTACGTGACTTTACCGAAAAACCTAAGAATAAGTTCCAGAAGGCCATTCGAACACCGATTTGTTCGAACACCAAATTCATTTTCCCCATAAGAATTAATGTAAATGACATTAATTGGTTCCAGACACAAGAAATCGCTCAAAGCATTTTTACACGAAGTTTACAGCAATTACATGCATAAAACCATTAAAAAAAACAAGAAACGCAATAAATAAATAAATGGAATAAATGAAATAAATGAACATTGAACTTCACTTTACCTGTAGTAAGGAGAGTTGATGGCTTGAGATGAAGGTGGTGAGGAGGAGGAGGTGGTAAAACCTTTGTCTGGGCAAGCGTCATGCACGCTGGCCATACGCGTCTCAGCCGTACAGGTTCTTTCAAGTCGCGATTGCCCGTTCGACCTCCGAATTTCATTCGGTTTCCGGGACAAAAAATGTTTAGAAATATCGTTCGAACACCGATTTGTTTGAGTTCTGGTGCGTTCGATCTCCGAGGTTCTACTTTACTGGTTACTTAGGTCCTCACGTCTACGCTCACTGCCCTTGCCATCGCACATGTGGTGGGGAGGGGGGATGTCCTCTTGCAGTGGAATGACACAAGGCCTGCTGCCACATGCTTATGATTATTTTCATCCTTTTCTTTTTCAAATGACCAACCTAGATTATTTGGCTGCAATACATTTTCACGTTATAAGCCGATTGAGCTCTCATTTGTGGCCAGGCCACTTCTGAACAAGAACTAAGAGCTCAGTGGGCTTTTACAGTCGAGTGTTAGATTATTTATTTGTAGTGATTTGCTTAACTTTTCTAAAACATTGCACTGCTATTATTTTTTTTGTATTGTAACTTTCTGACCCATGCCCCTACTGGACATCTGCTTAAAAATAGCTTAATAGCTCATCGGATTTCTGCAGGACAAATAAAGATTATGATTCTGTTATGACAGGAAAGAGCCTTACATACTGGTATTCGGTCACATTTAAAATATACACGGATAGAAATGTTAGCGTCAGCGTTGAAATAAAAAAAATTGTTAAATTGATTCAGGGTGTAGGGGAACACTTAAGCCTTGCCGAGTAGGGCATGGGTTCGATTTCCTGGTTCTCTGGTTTCTTTACACGGCTGAATAACAAAAAAGTGCACTATGGTGTACCTGGTTTTTGGCCAAACACCCCAATGCTGAAATATTACCTGCAAATGACTCAATGGGGGTTACACAGCAGCAAAATCGCCCCCCTTCCTGCAACATCTTGGCAAGACCCTCCTGAAGCTTTTTTGAGTAAACAAGTTTCATCATATTAATAATAATACACTAATGTCAAACTACATTTAGATGTTGAGGTGCTTCGTAAAAAAAACTAATTGGAGTAGCTTTTTGGATTTGCCTTATAAAGTTGATACATTGCTAAACTTTTGTTGGATGTTCCATGTGATTGTTGCTATTTGCTTATCGCCCCTCAATCATATACACTTAACTATGCAGTCCCAGTGATGTGGAAACATGCAAAAATGTACATGCACAGCAAAACATTCTAGTTTCTCAAGTATTAAGAATGTTAAAATATGCATGACAAAAAGTTGTGCAGTTCCAATATAAAGGCATAATGTTGCACACATGAATGATATTAAAAACAATATACATATTTTTTAAATGTGTTATGTGTGTGCGTGCGTGTGGATGCATTGACAGGTGGCAAACAGCCTGTGTGGAGAAGACCTCATCATCAAGGGGTCCAGCATTCACATCTCCAGCGCCGATCCCAAGGGCAGCAACAACGCCATGGGGAACGCCAATCCAAACTTCTCGGCGCTGGGCCTCAATCCGCAGCACCAGTCGCAGTCGTTCACGGTCAACACTGCCGCCCTTGAGCAAGTGGCGCGCTACGCAAACTTCGGCTCTTCCAGCGGCAGCTCGAGTGGCAATAACACACCCAGCAACAACTACGGTTATGGCTACGGCTACGGATATGGGAATAACCCCTTTGGTCCGTTCACGGGGTCAAATTCGACGTCGAATGCCGCCCAGTCCAGCCACGGATCTTCGTCCTTTAATCGCGGTGGAGGCGGCGGCGGGGGCGGGATGAACGCCGCGGGGAGCGCGTCAAATTCCTCCAGCCTTGGCGGCGCAGCAGGAGACGGGAGCATGAATCCGCTGGGCTCGTTCAATCTCAGCCCCGCGGTGATGGCTGCCATGATGCAGAGTGGTTGGAATATGATGGGGATGTTTCAGGGGCAGGGGCAGGGTCAGGGTCAGGGGCAAGGCCATGGCCAAGCGCAGGCTTTGGAGCAGTCGCAGGCAAATAAGTCTGGGGGATATGGGGCGAGTGGGGGGCAGGGAGGAGGTGGCTATGGGGGGTGGGGTGGAACTGGAGGTTCTACGGGGAGCGGAGCAGCGCACGGCACCCAGTCTTATGCCTCCTCCAGCTACGAGGCCAAACCACATGGCTGGTAAACGCTTCCTTTGTGTACCTGCTTAACAACAGTGTATGCATTGTAAAACAGTGTGATACATTTTAGGATTATTTTTTATTGCATCAGTTTTTTAATTCTGTTAACTTCTACGTGTGTGTGTAGTGTAGCGGTTAGTGCGCTACGCTACGAACCCAGGAACTCAAGTTCGATTTTTGATCACGGCCAAAACCAGTGACGATTATCTGAATCTGTCCTGGGCCTCCCCTAGGAAGACTCGGCCTCAAATGAGTACCTGGTGCGGTGCATAATCATCACCACTGGGGAGACAAAGGCGGCTGGGCATGGTGCTGGCCACCCATCTCCTCGTGTGCCGTGCCGGCCTTCATAGGTGCTCGCTAACAGCGCTTGCTCCAACAGTCTGTTAAATTGTCTGAGCTGGAAAATAAAATTTGATCTTTTTTTTGTGAAGTCATTGGTGAGATCATCAGTGCCTACACTTGACCCATCTTCATCATCGCAGTTGTCTAGATTCGGTGGTGTCCTCTTAGCATTCTGACGGAGCCACAATGCAAAAGTAATACATTTTTATAACAGTATCGCGTGTATAATTACCTCACACGCAGCTCAAGAATGGCATAGAGCGTGATACATTTTTAAAACGGTGGTTGGATACCCACGTGCAAGCCGCCATCTCGGCCACCCCATCGCCCCCAACATCTCTTCACAGCCAGCGGAAGAACGGGAATGGTGACTTGCCCCCCCCCCCCGCCAGGCAGTCTATAGCTTTGCACGTCAACATCATCTAGAATGTAACGCTCTTTCTCGCCAAGAGGGACAATTTGGACTTCCACCAATCATGGTGGTTGGCTGCTGTTGTCACGATGCCCCCTCCCTCCCCGCATTGTTGCGTGGTCAGTTTTCACTTTTCCACAATATAAATCTGATGGTAATTTTCTAGAACCGATAGATGGAGAATGTGTTCAAAAAGTTGCAAGTGTTATATTCTTCACAGTACTGTTAAGTCACGAAATAAAATGTGTTTTGGGGAAATCGTTCATTTGCAAGAACATCATTTTTACGAGCTTGTTGGTGAACGTGCACCTTTCATTAAAGTGGCGTCCTGTTTTTGTTTCGTGGCCATGTTTTTTTGGCAACGTTTATTTCGCTTATCGGGACATTTTGTGTGATTTTTTTCTCGACGAATTTTTCTCCCATTTTTTTTACTGGTTGTGCTCACGATGTCATTCCATAAGATGGAACCCATTTATCTCTTAGTGCATCCCTTTTGTATAGGACTAGCTGTACTACTCGGCTTCGCCCGGGACTTGGATTCACCACGCCTGGCCGCCTTTGTCTCCTCAGTGGCCATGTTCACACCACAACAATTACTTGTTTGAGGCGGAGTCGACCTAGGGGAGGCCCAGGACCGGTTCAAATAATCGGGAATCGAACTCGGGTCGCCGGGTTCGTAGCGCGGCGCGCTAACCACGACACTATGCGTTACGCTTCCACATGCGTGGGTCACGTGACAGATGTGACGTCACAGCTCACTTGCCGTGCAAAAAAAATCTGCATTATTGAGCTCCCCCAAAAAAACAAATACAAAAGTGTATTTTTATAATTTTTGCATGGTGTACAGTCTGGAAAGTACCCACATGGAAAATGTCCAGTTTGTTGCATGTTGGGAAGTACGCTAAACATTTTAAACAGACACATTCACAACTTTGCCTTTTATATATATGGAGATGGAGATATACCACGGGTGGGTATCACTGAGCTACCTCTTGAGAGACCTAAATGTTACATCTGGTCCACTTGGGGCAGTGGTTCTTAACCTGGGCATGGCACATTTTTTTAGAAGGTAAATCGTTGAAACACAAATTCAGGACGGGCATGTATGTACAACGAGGTTTCATCAAACCCTGTATTTGCTAACATACTTTTTTTACGATTGAGAACCAAAGGGGGTGGGGGGTACAAGGCTGCAATGAAGGTTAAATACTGACCTAGAGAAACGCTTTCCCATTACCGCTGAGATTAACATTCATGTACCGTTAATTATTTTAAAAGTGCCTTGGTTAAGGCGCTATATACATTTATTTAAGGTGAGATGAGAGTCGAGCAATACATTTGATATCTTGAAGCTGGTATTTAGCCAAATTATATTACATCTTTGGGTTTTTGAGTGCAGTAATTGGTCACCTGAGATCAACTCTGCATTCGAAAACCCATTTGGTCCTAGGAAGTTGCTTGGATTTGAACCAAGAAATCTCTGGTGCCACCTCTGCACTGACCTGATCCACACTGCAAAACCAGTAAAATCTAACAATGGAATGTTGTAGTATATTAGTCTCCTATGCAGCTCAAGAACGCTCAGCTTTGCAAATAATACAAAGCAACAAAAAGTGTTTCAAAACGAAGCGGTAGGACATCACGTGCAAGCCATGTTGACCATAACCCCCAACATGAACGAGTGGAAGAACGGGAAGTGATTTTTAAATCCTTTATATTAAGTTCACTTGCTTGCTCGCTTACGACCGTGCAAATCTTTCGGTCGTGTTTTAACCCACTTCCCGTGATCCAATCGAGCTGACATTTTGCACATAGACTCGTTGTGCGTGACAATTTTTTTCCAAAATTTTACACTTTTTAGGACAAATATATTTAATTACCAATTGCTTAATGGTGCAATGCAATCATCTGACCCATAGGTGGCAGCCATCTCAAGCCAGAGGACGAGAGGACTCTAGCCGCCACGCATATAAAGGATTGAAAAACTTAGTTTTTACGGGTTAATTTTTCCCCCCTGCACCCGAGCCCAAAGCTTTGCACAGCGGTGCCCAGTGTCTCAAGCTCTAGCTCATAGACGAGTTGGCCTCTCCAATCTCAATGGTTTGCCATTCCCACAATGTCCTTTGTTCTGCCACACGGTCAGCTCTTTTCACAAGCTTTGACAAACGCCTGTACATTTCCAAAGTTTTATCAGCACATCCAACCAAATACTGGTCTTCATTTACACAAGGTATGTCATGTGCTTGGTCAGTGACAATTCCATGTATTGAATTGCACGCAGTAGGTTCAGGCTTTTTTTCCAGCCACTTGAGGCTTTATTTGCCACATTGGTTTGGCAAAATAATTTTTTCCACAATGTTACCGTGCCCGTCCTCAGCTTTGTCAGGAGAATAATACTGGTAGGAACCTGGTTACACCAGCCCACAGGGGATTATTGTGTCCGTCTGTCCATCGTGCATCCAAAAATGGGAGGGGTGGGGCTGGGAGGGGAGGGGTGGGGCTGGGTGGGGAGGGGCTGGTCACCCCGTGGTGCCCTTATAAAACTCAACGTTTAACCTACTCATGCCGGCTTGTGCCCGCCCTCAGGCATATTTGCGGAATACACCACGCCGCCGTTGACCCTGGCCATTGACCGAGCAACCCAACGTTCCTACCAGCTCCCTCTGCACGAATGTTTTATTTGGAACTCCCAGAGTAGTGCAAATCTTCACGTTGAGAGCACGGTCCACCAAAACGACCATTGGAACTTAGATATGAAAAGTAAACCTTATGTACAAGAGGGGTAGCCACTTAGCCACCTGCCCTGCTACAGAGAGTAACCGGGAAACGAATGTAACAACTTTAAAAAGACACATTGTTCAGTTTCCAAAGCATAGACTTTATTAACATCTTCGCAATCGTGGGTGTGAAGGGGCACGTGTGTTTCTTGACTGGCTGTTAGGCAGAGGTAGAAATAAAACCTCTAAATGCATGTGAGTTTTTCGCATTGCTGGTGCAATGTGTAGATATGCGAGCGCTGTAGGTGGATAACCAGTGAAAACTTGCATATGTATTTGTACTTGGGAGATCAGCAATTCTCTGCCCATGAAACATTACCCGTCATCTGGGGTTGCTGTGAACCACAAGTGGCTGTACTTGTGTTGTATCAATGATGTGACAGTTGTGGCCTGGAAGCAAATACTTTGGGCATCATAATGGCGAGATTTTGCAGTTTTGCCGTTTGTTTTGGGTTACAAAGCAGAGAACTTCCATGAAGACAGCTGAATTATACACCGAGGACATAAGCACATAGCCTCGGCTTCATAGTATCCATCTAAAGTCCACTATATTTAGACAAGCCTTCGACCAAGGCACTAAATACATCCTGTCATTAATTGCCAACGAGATATTTTTTGCAAAGGGATGCTGTAAAAGTGATTGTAATTTGATACATTTTCCATACTCCTAATGCACAGTAGCATTTTTTATACAAATCTGTGACACTTGAAATGACTGGGTTTGAATCCATCAACCCTGCAGCTCACAAGAGCGTCCACATTGGCCACGTACGGTGCGAAAGAAGTTCAACATGCACGTACATGCCCCTGTGTCTTGAACCTACATTTTTCGGAGCTATTTGCTTCGTATCTCAAAAGGAGTTAAGGATTACATCCATGGCCTTGTCTTAAACTCGGGCCATGATTTTATTCCCAGGAGTTCATTTGCACAATCGTGTACATTTATAAACATGTTCGGTCACTGCGTTTATGAGGACAGCTGCTGCAGCGTCATTGCACTGTATAGATGAAAGCGTTCGATTTTGTCAGTGTACACAGGCTTAATTTATACATGTATGCATCATTTCTGTGTGAATTGTGTATGTACAGATCATTTGCTGTCTGCTTGCGCACCGTGTGTGTGTGTGTGTATATACAGAAACGTGCAGATGTCAGCATAAAATGTATGTGTCTGTTAATATTTTATATGTACCTACTGTGCATATTATGTGCGTGTGCAATGCTTGTATTCAGTTGGACTTTGACCAAATCTTTCCACTGCCCCTCAACCTGAAAACAAAGAAATTATTGACAAGGCATAAGACTCAGTCGGCATAGCATTTCTAGACTTCCTGTATTAAATCTCACATTTGAAAGCAGAACATTGGATGTAACTGAAATCAGAGGGACCCCCTCATCCACGGGGACACGTACCCTTTGACCTTACTGGGTTTTTTCCCAGGGTGCCGTGTGGGATCGGGGGTCGCCATGGCGTCGCGGCTCTCCACCACCTGGTCCATCTCCTGGGCGGCCGAGGCAGCTGCGGCCTTCATGGTCTGCTTTAGGGAGCTCACCTACACATACGTACACAATGGCTTGTACAAACACAGGTGTCCCGTGTGACCCACATACAATGTTGGGGCAAGCGCTGTTATTACAAGCAGCGTTTTCACCCTCCGCACATATAATGTCTGGAAAAAGCAAACGGAATTCAAGATAAATAAACGGGAAATAAGAGTTGAAGGAATATATTAACGGGACGGGTCAGGAAACATGAGGATATGGAGGAAGAGGCTAAATAAGGACATTGAAGCTGCTTGCAGCAGGGTCTGCTTTGACTGGGTGGGGAGAGGGCAGGGATTGAGTGGGGGTGGCCACAAGAGGGATACAAGTAAGCACACCGACATGCGCCGGCATCTTGGAATTAACGCAATCATTGCATCGGCGATGGAAAACATCAGTGGCAAGTGGAATCTGCACCTGTCCTGAGCCTCCCTGAGGTTTACTTGGCCTTAAACGAATGGCGGAGGTGGTGTGTAAACAACAGCACTAAGCAGACAAAGGCAGCTAGCTTCGATTTTCTGGTCATACCACACCAGTGTATGCTGTACAGGCCTCAGTGGGTGCCCGCTAACGGTCTATATACTCGGGAGCTCTTGTCTTGATGCTCTGCTATGAATGCTGGCGAGTTATTACCCACCTCGTTCTCGATCTGTGCGCGCACTGCGATTTGGTTTTCCTTGGTGGAGTTGGCGCGCAGAATCTGAGCCTCGATGTTTAACAGAACAGCTTCACAACCATCACACCTAGAACAGAGCATTTTCAATTATTAATTATAACACGAATTTCAATACTGCTTATAATGTAAAGAACACCCGCATGTTAACCTCATTGCACTGGGTTGTTTTGATTGCACTCTTCATATATATGTGTACTCAAAGCACTTAAATATTAGCATTTTTCTCAAAAGGTATTTTATACACACTTAAAAAGAATGGCATAATATT